TGGGAAATTACGGTTGATCAGTACTGGTCTGGTTTAGCTACTGGCACTTAGCCTTTTGACTTCCCTCCCCTGCTCTTGGTTGACTGCTCCAAGATCTAGCATTTTTTTTGTTGTTGTTGAAATTTTGGGTGCTGGAGCACCTTAACCTTTAGTTATCTTTGGCTCTTCTTTGGCCCCGGAAGTGTGGAAATCCCAGAGTGCTATCCAGGCTTGCAGAGGTTGTCTTTGTTGTGAATGTCATTTGTTTCAGTTGAACAATGTGGCCTGGGGTGTCTTGGGAATGTGGAATTGAAAATAATAATTTTTGCTTTCTTGGAACTGCATGTTTCACTGACAACTTGATTTGACTCTGATGGTCTTGTGGGTGTTCAGGCCGACCCCAAAGTACCAAGTAAGCTTGACTGCTTTTTTTCCCAGAGTTCGAAACACTGGGAGATAGAGTAACTGGTTTTATGTAGAATTTTTAATGGGGCCAGGCTTGTCCTATTGTTCCTGAAGGGTATTAGAGCTTAGGCCTGAGATCTTTCAACCTTTCAGTTTCTAGCAAGGCTTTGGTGAAGATTCAGGTATTCACATTCAAATGTAGTTTTCACAGCACTGTCAAGTCTGGTGCCTGAGTGAGAGGAAAGGCAGATCTACACTTTGAAAGTCCTAGTCTGGGGCGCCTGGGTAGCCCTGTCGTGTACCGTCTGCCTTTGGCTCAGGTCATGATCCCAGGGTCCTGGGATTGAGCCCCACTTCGGGCTCCCTGTTTGGCGGGAAGCCTGCTCCTCCCTCTCCCACTCCCCCTGCTTGTGTTCCTTCTCTCGCTGTCTCTCTCTCTCTGTCAAATAAATAAAAATCTTTAAAAAAAAAAAAAAAGTCCTAGTTTCTGAGATTGTCTGGTTGTACTTAGCCTTTTGGGTAGGAGTTTTATGGACAGATGTCTGTATGTTGGACGTCCCTAAAGAAAAAGTGACCCTGTATAGTGTGTCGTGCTTCCTTGGGGGTGGGTGATGAGTAGAGTGAACACTGGAGTTCAAACACAACCTTAACAGGTAAAGTATTAATCCTGTGGTGCTGTGATTTTACCCAGCCCCTTGTACCTGTCGCTGACCTGGAACAAACTCGAAACTCACTTTCTGTATATGCTTTTATATGACTCTTAGGTCTTCTGGTTTCTAACCAAGACATGAATGATGAATGATTTATTCTAGTACATTCTCAAGGAGTTCAAAAAAACACTTTTCATCTAAAAATGCAAGATGTTTCTATTCCTAAACTCTGGAATTTTTGCACATTCAAATTGGCTTTCACTTTGCATAATGTGGTGTTTGGCAATCCAGTTTGCGTGATATGGTTAAGTAGGAAGGAAATTTGGTGTGGCTCTTTCATTAAGTTAGAATTAAATACTGATTGATTTTGAAGGTGGTCAGAAATTGTTGAGATCATTGTCTTTGTAAGCATCTGACTTTTCTGGTTCCAAGATCCTCAAAGGAAATGATGTATTAGGCTAGGAACCTCCTATTGGTGGTGTAGTTTTTGATCTAGGAAGTATTCAAGTCTTAATAAAGGGTATCTTTCTCTAATATAACTCTTAATTATGGCCCAGTAACTCCCTAACAATGCCTTTGAACCCTAATTTAAAGAGAATAAAGGTGGTGCCCATGTTTGGATAAAACATACACATTGAGACTGTTCTTAATACTGAAACTCCAACTCAGTTTGTAAGGAAAGTTTAGTGGTAAATTGCTTAATATCCTGGCATAGATTTTTAAGCTCTGTTTTTAAAAATCTGTCTCCTCCACTTCTCTTTTCAGTCTAAACTTTGGTAGATTGATATACAATTACGATTTGGGGTCATAGGGTGGATTTCAATAGAGATTAAGAATAATGCAGTGGATGTCTGTGGCTTCCCACTGCCTTTTCTTTGGGAGAGGTTGAGGAGCCTTGTGACCTTTGTTGTGAACATGTCAACAGAGGTCATGGGTAACAGCTGACATCAGGGAATATTTTAATATTTTAAAATTTTCTTTTCTAGGTTAAAATCCAGTGCTTGCTTGTTTAGTTTTAAGGTGGTCAAAGATGTTCATCATTTGGACAGACCTTTAAAAAAACCAAAGTTACAGCAGTATTTTTACCTTAGGAAATCTCTTAAAATAGGAGATAAAGGGACACATTTGAGTTCATATGTAGGTGAAAGGAATTAAGTTTAGCTAAATGTCAACACATCATTATTTCTGATTTAAAAGCACATTTGGAACACATGCATACTTTTTGTAATGGAAATACTGTTGCCAATGTTTAGGAATAGTCCTTTATTTCTTCTGAAACATTTGAGCTTCTACCCAACAAGATTTGAAATAATTCCAGCTGTTGTTTTTTAAAGTATAACTCAAATGCATCATGCAATTTGCGAATGTTAGACAAAGGTGTAGTCAGGTTCCAACAGTATTCTCTAAGTTTCTTAGTTTAGATCCGAGCTGGGTATGTATTTTTCTAAAAGTGAGTGCTTTTCTTCAGTTGACAGACTTAGGTTTTTGGTCAATTTTAGCTTCTTTGCTGAATTTTCTTTCTTTCTTCCTTTTTTTTTTTTTTTTTAAAGATTTTATTTATTCATTTGAGACACAGAGATACAGAGAGACAGAGAGAGAGAGCATGAGAAGGGGGAGAGGGAGAAGCAGGCTCCCCCCTGAGTCAGAAGCCTGATGTGGAACTCCATCCCAGGACCCTGGGATCATGACCTGAGCTGAAGGCAGACGTCTAACCACCTGAGCCACCCAGGTGCCCCCAAATTTTCTTTCTGACACAATAGTCCAGACCTCTCACTTTCCTTTTTTGCCCTTTCCACTTAGATTCCCATATCACTACTTAATTTGGAGTAGCTCATTTATCATCATACTCTTGACCCTTCTCCTGTCTAACAGAGTTTTGACCCTTAAAGTGTTGGTCCAAGAGCTAATGTTAGCCTGTCCATCAAAGCCATTTCTAGACCCTTTTAAACTTTTACCAACTCCTTTGTAATTTTATAGGCATTAGAGTTTTCCCATTTATAACCATTTAGCACAATACACCAACCCTCCCATCAGTTCCCAGTGCCAGCCTTCTTTCTTCTTCTCTTGCAGCAGTAAGAAATGCAGTATGTATTATATGTCTGTACTAGTCTTCAGATGGAAAGTTCCACCATCTCCAGAGTTGGTTAACTCTGTGTGTGGGTGCACATCTGAAGTCAATGCACCTAGTGATTTTTCTTGAAGTAAAAGCAGCTAGCTGTTCTGAAAGAAAATATTTTTTCTTTTATGAAAGATAAAGTGTAATACATTTTCAAAAATATGTCTCGAAAGCACTGATTCATTTTAGGTCCAGGACACCCCAGTGACCTAATGAGGTAAATTAAATTAATGGTACAAATCCAGAATTTTAAGGGGAAAGATACAAAGTTAGGTCTGGTGTAGTAAGTTAAGCAAGTTTTCCCAGAGATTTTAAGCATATCACGTGCACACTAGGCATGTAATGTGAAGGCATTGTCTGTGAGATATATAGCATCTGGTTCCAGGGCAAACTCACTTTCTCTTTTCTTCAAAATTCTATAGCAAGTTTTTATTGTTACTGTTTTTTAAGGAGACAGTGGCTGGATCTACTTGAGTTGGGAGATTTGTATCTTATTTATCTTTCTTTACCCTCGTCTGGCTTTAACATAGCCAGGAAATATTCAGCAAATATTGCATATGTGAGTGAATGAATGAATGAATGAGTGTATTATTAAATGCTCCCTGTTGGTTCAGGAATCATACCTCTGGCATAGTATATTATTATTATATATTAAAAATAATATTTATATTCCTTCTCAGAGTCTCGGCTCCTAAAGGGCAGGGATAATGCCTTTTAACCATGGGCTCACAGATCACAATGCCAGAATTAAATTTATAAAAATTTTTTTTTAATTTTATTTTTTATACCAAACCTTTTAATCTTTTTTTCTAATGTTTATTTTCTCATAGGTGCATCTTAAAAACAGATTTATCCTGTATAAATATATAAAACATAAAAAGTAAAAAAAAAAAAAAAGCTATGCTCTTCCTTCTGTCCTTGGAGGTAATCATTATTAAGAATAAAATTTTAGTGAAAACACCTAACAAATGCTCTTTTGTGGTTTTGATTTTTATTTGAGTAATAGGTTTAATGCACTTATCTCACAATTTGGAAGTTGGAAAGAATCTTAGATACATATTTAAAAAAAATGTGTGCCCCCTGTTGCACAAGGGTAGTTACACAATAAAACATGCCCTGTCGTGCATGGACATGATCTTCACTGTAGTGGAGAGGCAGTTGTGTAGAGTTCAAGGAGTTGCTGTAAAGAACCCTCTAAATTCATACTGCACCCAAAATGCCTCTCACATAAAAGAAAAAGAAAAACTCTTCCAGTATGTTGTTATATGCAAGGATGCAATACTTTCTTGCTTGAATGAATTTTAAAAAATGGATATAGCTGTCATTTGTAAATTAAGATTTTTTTTAATAAACTTTTTAAGTCATTGAACTTTTTTTTTTTTTAACTAACAGGTACCTAAAGAACAACTTCTTCCTTATGTCAAACTGTAAAGTTAATTGATTTTTAATCAAAGGATCTCAGAGTAGAAAGCATTAAAAACCACTAATCTAAGCCAACCTCCTCATTTTCCGGAGGAAAGTCTGAGGGCTAGGATGGGGAAGTGAGTTGTACGGAACTGCTGAGGTTAAGTAGCTAGGAATTAGCACATTGGGACTAGAATTAGAAACATTTAAAGCTGCAAATATTCTCTCCCTTCCTACGTTCTCCCTCCTCTCCCATTTTCTCCCTTCTCTCCCACCTTTTCCCTTCCTTTTTCTTCCTTTTCCCCCTTCCGCTCGTCATTTCTGTCTTTTAAATTATTTTGTCGATACTTAAGATTAATTTCTAATGTGTTTCATTAATACTGTCTTATGCTTAGAACAGTAGAATGAACATAATGACAATTTCAGAGATGTTTTGAAGTTATTTTAGGGATAATGTTTGATATGAATGTTAATGAGTTAATATCGGCTTTATTTTATTTTTTAATTAAAACCTTTTTTTAGGTTTTATTTTTGATTCATCAAATGAATTACTGAGTAAACTATGGGAGGTCACACTCCTGCCTCAATGCTCTATCTAAAAAAAAAAACATGCATGTCTTCTCTGCTGTATTCAGCCTGATGGGGCTCAATTTTAAAGGCTTGGGCACTTTGAACATAGAGAGAAATAAACTCAAAGAAAGCCATAGGCCGTGGTTTTTCCACAGTCCTTGTCAGGGGTATAGGAGTTTTTAATGAGATAAATGAATTTGTCTTAGTGATAAAAAGCTATGTAATATTCTGCTCATAAAGAAAGCATTTATAGATACCACAAAACTTTAGTAAACTCTGCTTGAAATCTAACTACAGGAGCGTATTTTTAAAATGAACCATTAAAAAAAAAAAGAAAATAAAAAATAAAATAAAATGAACCACTCTCAGTCATGGGGGAAAAACAAACCTATCGTAGCTATATTTGCAGTTTCAGAAGTAGCTAGTGGAAGGTCTATTGAATTAATATTTTTAACTGATGACCCACTTAAAGGTGTCCTGTGCTTCAAAATGTAAAATTAGGATACCCTAGATCTTGAATAAGACCTACAAAGGATAATTGGTTTATACATGCAGAAGGACCTTGGGGATTATTGGGCCATTTATTCCCAGATGTTTGAATTTAGAAATCAGTGCAAAAGAATTCCCAGATATTACTGTTAGAAGTTATGACAAACACACACACACACAACCATTTATTTTGATATCCTTTCCTTTACAAGAAAAACCCCCATATACATTAAAGTACATATGCATATGCATATGATAGTTGGTAACCATACACTGACATAAAAACAGTGAAAAGTTTCTCATAAAACAGAACCAGGTGTAATCAGTTTTGTTTATATAGCAGTGTTTTTTTTCTTTTTAGTCAAGTTCATTGAGGCATAATTTATATACAGTAAAAATTCATCCTTAATTTACAGTTCTGAGTTTTGACAAATGTATAGTCTTGTAATTATTCCAACAATCAAGATCAGTATAGTTACATAACCCCCAAACTTCTCTACCCTGTTTTCCTGTCTCCCACTAGCCATTGATTTGTTTTCTGCCGCTATAGTTTGTTCCTTTGCAAAAATGTCATATCATTTGGATCATAGTAAGTACTTTTTTGAGTTTAGCTTCTTTCAGTTAGCATAATGTATCTGATACTATGTTGTATGTATTAGTAATTCTGGTTCTTTTTATTGTTGATTTCCAGGGTTTGGCTGTACCACAGTTTGCTTATCTGTTCACTTGTTGAAAAACATTTGGGTTGTTTTCACTTAGGGTGGTTATAAAGTCCCTATAAACATTTGCATATAGAGGTTTTTTTTGGTGAAAGAAAATTTTCATTTCTTTTGGGTAAGCACCTATGGTGGGATTGCTGGGTCATATGGTGAGTGTATGTTTAGCTTTATAAGATACTGTCAAACTGTTTTTTGAAGTGGTTGTACCATTTTGCATTCCCACCAGCAGTGTGTGTGAGCTCCAGTTGCTCTCCTTGCCCAGAGTTTGCATTGTCAGGGTGTTTGTTGTTGTTGTTGTTGTTTTTAACTTTTAGCTATTTTATTAGGTGTGTAATAACACGTGGCTTTAGTCTGCGTTTTTCTAATGACTAATGATGTTAAGTCTCTTATGTTATTTACCATTTTTATATATTTGTTGAAGTGTGTTCTAAGCTTTTGGCCCCTTTTTTAAAAAAAATTAGATTGTTTTCTTTTTATTGCGTTTTGAGAGTTCCTTATATATATTGTGGAGTCAGGTCTTATATCAGATATATATTTTGCAGATGTCAATGGTTTTTAAACCTTCGTGCAACATTAGACTGTTCATGTTGAGAGCTTTACTATAAACACATTCCTGGCCCTACTAGATACCAGCTAAATCTCTTGGATATAGTCCCAGGAGTTTGTAGTTTTTATACCCCGATTATATACTTGGACTTACACAATGGACATTTGCAACATACTGACTGAAAATACTGTGGTCACCCTAGTGCAGGAATCCTCCCTACTCTAATCTCTCAAGCTTCTGCAGTGGCAACTCATTTCTCTGTTAGTGTTCAAGAATGAGCAGCATTTTTTTCCCTCTCTAGTAATTGAAATTTGTTCCTCTAAGGTAGGGGTCTGCACACTATGGACCATGGACCAATGCAGCCTACCCACCACTTGTTTTCTCATAGCAGGTGAGCTGAGAATGGGTTTTACGTATTTTAATGATTGAAAAAAAAAAAGAGGAAGAAAGATTGGTGACATAGGAACATGCTATGAAATTCATATATCAGTTTCTTTTTTTTTTTAAAGATTTTATTTATTTATTTATTAGAGAGCGAGCGAGAGAGAAACAGCATGAGAGAGGAGAGGGTCAGAGGGAGAAGCAGGCTCCCCGCTGAGCCAGGAGCCCGATGTGGAACTTGATCCCAGGACCCTGGGATCATGACCTCAGCCGAAGGCAGTCGCTTAACCAGCTGAGCCACCCAGGGGCCCCATATATCAGTTTCTATAAGTAAAGTCTTATTGGAACAAAACCGTGCTCATTGTTTGCCTATTGCCTGTGGCTGCTTTCATGCTACGAAAGTAGAGATGAGTAATTGTGGCAGGGACCATATGACCAGCAAAGCTTAAAATTTTTATTATCTGGTACTTTATAGGAACAAATAGTGGGTTTTTTTGGACCATTTTTGATGAAACTTTAAAAAATCTTCCTTATTTAACTTTTTTTGATACTTATCACCATGAGCATCAATTATAACTTTTCTTTAATATGTCAGTGTTGTTGGGGACTATTGCTGATTGAACTCTTATGATAGTGTATTTTATATTTGTAGTGACTTTTAAAAATACAGACATACCTGATTTTTTCTTTTGAGGAAGAAAAACTTTACACTCCATATATATTTCTAGGTACTTCAAAATTGATTCTCTAGATAGAAGCCATGTGTAAAATAAGAGTATGTCATATGCCAGCTCTGAGTAAGGGTCTGTGGGCTTTCATGAGTGAAGTGCATGAATAAACAGATTGAACTTTTTAAAAAAGTTTGCTTATGATTTTTAGCTTATTGCTTATCACTGGCTCTCTTCAAAATGTATTACTGACGTTTGCATGAAGGAAGTGTTACTTCGTCTTCTTAGAAACTTCTGTCAGAAGTACCTAGGTTGATTTACCACTCCACTTCGAAGGCTTAGTGTGTAATGATTGTTTCCAGTCTCAACACAGCTCCTCAATGACCAAATACCAGGGGAGTCTCCATTGGACTTTTTTGGCTTTTATTTTTCTAATGAGTCATAAAGGCTGAGTCACTTTCCATTAACTTTACTTCAGGACTTTTAACTGCATATAGAAAAAGTGTGAGTGGTTTATAAGGGTATCTTTCCCTCTTCACTGCCTCCCAATCAACAACATTTGTTTTTGTCTTTGTTTTTTTTTTTAATGACTATATAGAGGAGTCCATGATTTACTTTATTGTATTAATTACAGTAATATTTTAGTAGCACTTTTCTATCAAATGCTTTAAAATGTTAGTTTTTTTCTTTCATATTATGAAGGTCTGTAAAATATAGAATGTTAGGGTTGACAAATACTGTCAAAAGTCTTTATTGCCTAGGTGGGAAACCTGAAGTAGAGAAAGAAGAGACTTGATTAAAGATCATTGTCGCCCCATCTGCACTTCTTGAGCTTGGTCTAACATCTGGGCCAATAGCTATTTGGAAAGAACTGCCCATTCTCAGTGTCTACATTTACAATCACTTTCTGGCTTTGCCTACAAAAGGTCCCTTATCCTATCAGTGATGGCTAGATTTTAACTTGACATGTCTGCTTCTCTTGTTTTCCCAGGTTTCCATGGTCAGACCTTATTATTTCAAATTGGGTTTTAGTGGACTCACAAAGCATTTCTTCTTTTCTTTTTATAGTTACCCCATTAGAGATTCACAGAGCCAGTCTTCATAAGGTCATTTTGGCTGTGTGTGTATGTTGGAGAAGAGAAACTGGAGATTTAGAAAATGGTTGGGGAGCCATGGATACACCCCAGTTTACTGTGCTTTTAACATCCCTGAACTCCAGGAACTTGGTGTCAGTGACTTTCAAGCTCCCCACACTAGGATAACTACTAGGCTTAAAGACAGGGTTGCCAAAGAATTTATAGGCCAAACCTAGACACTGTGAGTAAAAGGGATGATTCTAATAATTTCACCAGAGTGGATGGATACTGGTAATCACACAACTAAAGGAGACATTGCTGAAATACCACGGGCAGTTGGATGTGATGACTGAATGAGGTCCTCTTCTGGATATGTGAAGTTTTCATTGGCATTTAAAACCCAAAGGGTACCTGTCTATCATAGATTGTCTTGAGGTTCTAAATTTGTTTTCTGTTTCATAATTGATTACTATGTAAAACATGAAAACTTATTCTTTAGATTATAGAATAGAAATCATTAGGGTGTCATTCAGCTATTCATATTTGGGTTTATCAGAATTTTATTTTTTTTAGTTTTCTTTCTGTTCCCCATTTATGGGTTCTCTCCATATATTCCCCCCAAAATGTAAAGAACAGATGTTGAAAAGATTTGTGCCAATTAAAGGGAGGTAAGAAATGCAGACATTTCTGATTCCTTTACTTGGCAATGTGTAATATGCCTATCATTTTTTTTTATTTTTAAATATAGAATAAGACTACCTTTTTACTCTGCCAAGCATCTTTTTAGTAATTGAGCTCTTCCTAGAATTATTTTGCAGTATTTGCACTAGTTTACTGATACATTAAATAATTCATCCCAATTGAAATCAGACTTATGGTATAAAATTTAACTTCAGCAGACTGACTTCTTTCTAAAGGGAAATACCTTGAACCTAGACTTGTAAGACCTGGTTTCACATCTCCTATTTACCACCTATTAGGTGTAAGAACTCAGAGATAACATGCAGTATCTCTAAGCTTTAGTTTCCTTAGCTGTTTATTGGAGATAATATTCACTGTGCCTAATACATGGGCTTGTGATGACAGTTAACTGAAGAAATGGATATGAGAACTTTCTGTAAAAATGTAGTGGTATACAGTCAAGCTCTTGATGACATTACTGTTCAGATTGCCTTGTAATACTTTGACTTTTTCACTTCTTCCAGACTGTTGTTCCTGTGAGCCCTGTTGCTCTACCTGGAGTTTCTTTCTCCACTATCCAAATTCGGCCTGTTTGTACACCCTCCCACCCCCACCAGGTCTCGCTCAAGTGCTCATTTTCTGTTAAGTCTGCCCTGCCCTGTTTCTTCTTTTCTGTGATTTCTTCAACCCACTTTGAACTACTTACTTCCTAAAGCAACATGATCATTCTCTGTATTAATTTACTCTTTCTCTCTCAACATGAGACTGGCGGCTGACTGATTTCAGTATTTTTGGGGGATCCTTACATATAGGAGATATCCAGAAAACTTGTCAAACTATCTGACAGCTTGTGCTCAGTGGGCAGACTGACCTGAGCTAACTGAACTGATGACACTAGAGTAAGAGCTATGATCATTTGCATGAATTCATAGGGGTAGGAAAAGAAGACTAGGAACAAGTCGCTTTTACTTTTTGTTGTATTTTTTTTTCCATTTCTCAAATTTCTGTAAGATGTTGATTGGTATTGAGGTTAAATCAAGGCCTGAAAACACACAGTAATTTCCTTTGCAGACAGTGAGCTTACTTGTTTATGGATTGACTTTAGTTATGTAAAATAGTGCTAATGTTTGCATATTTTCCAGGAATGTTATATGGTATCATTTTGTCACTGTTACTAGAGAATCCAGTTAAGTTTCTTAGATGGTGTTGGGGTCCATTCATAATTTTTATGTTTACTATTTTCTCTCAGATTTATTTTGACATAAAGGGAGCAAGTTTCTTATAAAGCTTGACTAAACGGATCAAGCATAACACGTGTTTTTAAAGTTCTTGATTATAAGGGGAGATAATTGTGAAGAATCTGAAAGTTTTGGGTTGGAGACCAAAGAGATGGATGCAAACTTTGAGTGATTTATGATCAAAAGAAGGTGGGAAAGCATGAGCAAGAGCTCAAGAGTTTTTGCTTTGGGCATGAATATGTCCAATTGTACTTAATTTGGAATGATTTTCTAACTTAGGGCACACTGTTGAGTCTCTTTCAAAGAGCTTCATATGATATATTAGGAGTTAACACTGCTTTCAAAACAGGCAGTGCTATAAAAAATAAATTTATATTTGTAGGCAGCTATTATTTTAATTTTTTAAAAAAACCACCAAAATAATTTTGACTCCTTTAAAAAACAGTGAAGCAAGTAAATCCTGTAGAGCAGAAAGGATTTGGACAACTTGTCTTCCTGTTCACAGACGCAGCTGCCCCTGATTTTCTTTCACTTCCTCTGCAGGGGAATTACATGATAACCAAATATACTGTAGAATGTACTGAAGCCAGTTTCAGTAGCATTGCAGAGAGAAATCCAAGGCATTTTAACACATTCCACTCGAACTTAAAACATTTGGTGATCTCTGAGAAGCATTCTGAATATGGAGGGTGCTCACTTTCCCAGACTGTACTGTGATCATCTGGCCCCACATAAGCCTTTTAGTTAATGACACAGTTCACATTTATATTCATTGAACACTAAATGACTGATAACATGGTCTCATTTTACGAAGAAAGCAGTATTTGGTGCAGGAGAAACACAACAGTTATTCTATAGGGTAGTCTTTTATATAGGCTGTGATGATCACATTTTTGATGATATGCTTGTGTCCAAGAGACAAGTGTATATCACTTACTCTGAATCAAGTACATTTCATGCAACCCTATGTCTAAGGTGGATGAATTCTTTTTTTTTTTTTTTTTTTTTTTAAGATTTTATTAGAGAGAGAGAGAGAGGACGAGTTGGTAGGGGAAAGCGCAGAGGGAGAAGCAAGTTCCCCGCCGAGCAGGGAGCCCGACCTGGGGCTTGATCCCAGGACCCTAGGATCATGACCTGAGCTGAAGGCAGATGCTTAACGGACTGAGCAACGCAGGTGCCCCAAAGTTGGATGAATTCTTAATTTGGACTGTTTCCTTACAGCTCAGGACATTGAGGTTTTAATTTGGAAAGTGACTTGTCAGAGGTCATGTGGTGAGCTGCTGACAGAAGCAGAACTAAAATTCTGTCAGATGTCTGGAATTAAGAACAAGGCTCTTTTGTACTTGT